TCTTGATTACCGTCCGTGCGACTATGTTGGCTTGGATCGGGTTTACCTGCTCTTGAATACCCGCGTGGAATGCCTGGCGGCCGCTGGAGCAGCCTTCCACTCAGTGTGGATGGCACAGACGCAACTTGCTACATAAATGCTCGAGAAAGCGCTGCTTGGAGGTCTCTTATTGTACACGGGTATGTCGTTGTACAGGGCATGATTCATTTGGGCTGACTCCAAACAAAGGCGGCGTTGGTTGCAGGGGTGGAGCATGAGCTTCGAGACAAACTCTAACGTGGTGGTGGGGTGGGTTTAAATGGCCAAGCTCCGACAACACTCAGACGAGTTGAGTTGGAGTGTGCAGGGTGTTTTTGTGCATCTTTGATTGCTCATCTCCACGTTCCTGTACGTAACTCGTTGATTCATCGTGTTAATATGAACATTAATAAAGTGCTAGATTGTACAATGTGTCTACAGCTCGACAGCGGTATGGCTCGGCGCGATTGCTTCCATGACGTGGCTTGGCGACGTCACCAAAGCGCGTGGTAGACCTGGCAGCGTGGGCGAGTACGTCGCCGCAAACGCCAATTGGCCGAGACGCCGGCAGTCGGCGACAAACTGGCGCAAAATGGCTTGGGAGACGCGCTTCGATGCCACACACGTGACGCGCGCAGATCCGTCCCGCTGCTCGAGAAAGGACACATCGATGGACGGGTCCAATGGCAGGGCGAAACCCACCGTCCACGACAGCGGCGCGCGCCGAACGTCCAAGTCATGGCCAATGGCGGCTTCGAGGGCCTCGAGTTCCTCAACAAACCATGCAGCGAGGCGCAGGGCCGCCTCGGCGCACCGCACTTCGTCGTTGAAGTCGTGGGTCCTGGGGCCGCCACGCGAGAGCGACCGCTGGCGCCGACGCGGCCTTAGTTGGCGTTGAGTCGCGCGCTGCAGTCGAAAGTACACGAGCAATGGCACCGTAAGCAAGGCGAGAAGGGCCTCGAGGGCCAACGGGAGCGCGCCCGCCCACGCCTCCAAGAGTACAAGGTAGACGCACGAGCAGACGAGGCCAGCAGCGTGCAGTACCGTCCATACAACCGAGATCTCGTCGACGGCTTTGGCCCGGACGAGCCAAAGAAGCGGGCGGAAGGCGCAGAGCACGAGAACGACCCCGCCTGCGAGGCCAACAACATTTACACCGTCGACGATCGAGGCCATGGCGACCGTTGAGTGCAAGCGACACAATCCGTTGCAAGCTTTTGCTAACTCGATGTATCCTAGAAACGGCCACAGCGAACGGTCTGGAAGTGAGTACTTCAATGCCCTTGGTCGTACATGTAGCCATGCGAACTCTTGGTTGCACTCTGCTGATCTGTGTACATGAGGATTTACCGATCGGTTCGATAAATGCGGGGTCCTCCGAATGGGACAGTCCCCACCTCTTTGTTGCAAACTTGATTTTCGAAATGGAGTTGAATATCAATGAGGTAAGTTGCGTGATGCTTCTCTAGATCTTTGTCTGGCGTTTTCGTGCGACGGCCTTTTGAGTCGCGCCTGCCTTGACAGGTGTTGACTTCTTGACTGGCATCTTCGTCTTGGCTTTCGTGGTGGACCTTGCAGCAGCGCGGGTGGGTCTTGGCTTGGGCGTCGCCACGGGTTCGAGGTGCGAGGTATCAATGGGCAAGCAGTGCAGCATGTCAAAGCAGTACGACTGCCACACGTGGCCGACCTGAAAGTGTTCGATCCACTTGGGATCAGTATACTCGACTTCGTACACGCCTTGCTCTAGCTGCCGCTCCTGCTTGAAGCCGCTGTAGACGAACGTGGCGTTCGTCTTCAGTGTTGCCGGCGCGTACGCTGTCTGCTCGACGCGCTTGACAAACTTGTGTGCATTTGCAGTCATCCAATCATAGTCGAGCGCTTGGCCGTTGGAGGCAATGGCAAAGTGCTCGTTGGCGTTCGAGAAACTGCGCTTGGGACCGACCGTGGCGTACGACAGAAAGAGGAACGGGTCTTCGTCGAGGAGGAGCACGAAGAAGGAGGCATCCGATGGCACCGTATGGCACCCGTCGTAGTAGACATTATAGACGCGGAAGACGACAATGCACTTGCCCCGGTGGACACGGACAACACGGATGCGATAGAGGGCGGTGGCCATCTTGGTGGCAACTTGAACTGTGCGCGCCATCGTATGCATAGATTGTTTTGAATGATGGTCGCAAAAGACCTACATTCACTCATTTGCATCTCGATGCGCACGATACGCGATACTCCAGGCATTGGGCACCCAGAGAACATTTCACGTTAAATGCAGCGCCTCTGCTCAGTTAGTTGAGGTGCATTTGCTGATGAAGCAGGGTTATCGAGAGGAACACTACCGACAATCACAGGTCACCACAATAAAATCTAGTTTTCGCCACTTTCTCGTCGACTGCGACGTCATCAAGGACATGTGGGGTGCACTCTAAGCGGACACAGGCCCCTTGGGAGTGGTCTTGCCGACGACGTTCGCGGGCTACCTCTTCTCGATGCCCCATTCGGCCTCCAACAGGCACCAAGCTGCGTT